AATGGAAGGAGAGAATTGATTCCCACGACTTGTTCCCTGTTCCCTGAACATTGTAGTACACAAACACACACACACACACACACACACACGGAATTCTCATTCATCATATTTCCTCATTCTCTTCTTGTGTCCCTTTCTTTCAAATAAATAAATGTACCAAATTTCAGGTGAGAAATCAGGTCCATTATTTAGAAGGAAAGAGATCATGATATTTTCTAAATGCAGCAGAATGAAGAATAAAGAAGTAGAAACAGAGAAAAATTTCTAAATGGACATATAAAAAAATGAGAATTTCTGAAACAGAGGGTTTGGCAAAGCAGTACTATTCTGCAAGGAACAATGAGTGCTATTTATATTTAAATAATAGAATGGGAAATGAGAATAATAACAGTAAGCAATAAAGTATTCTTCTTGACTTGCAAATACATGTTCTAAAGCTCTTCTCTGTCACTTTACAGCTATTAGAGTTAGTCCTGCTGACAAAGAGAGGCGCATCTTACCCGGCAATCTTGGAGCAGTTTAAAGTACAATTTAAACTGAAACAAAAAGAAAAAGCTAAAAAGTTGTTTTAAATGGAACATCACTGTAGGTAATACACACCTAATAATACAAAAAATAAGACGATATAATAGGAGTAAATTGATTTTTGGTATAAGACTTAAGGAACGAGAGGCATTTTTGCTGTGGGTCTTGCAGACCTTGTTTTTCTTTTGTCTCCCTGGCAGAGCTGCTTGGATAATGCATCCCAGATTCTAATTTGAGTTGACTAACAGCAAAACAGATCTGCGATCCCAAGAAGGGTTCGGGAAGGTGCAGCCCATTAATCTTTCAAGAGTGGTAGAAGGTCAATACGGCAAGCATGAAGCACGGCTATATCAAAGCAAAGATTAGTCTTACCAGAGCACCGCTACCATTCTTCCTGCCGGGGAGAAAGAGCTGAACTATCATCTCTGCCGCGCAGCACCAGGGTGGCCCTGACCTCCCAGTGCTCCTACGGTGCGCTTCAGGATGAGGGAAACAAACTGCACCTTTCCCACACAGAGCACAGGACCTGGCACACATGCATGTTCACTTTCTATTCTGACAGAATGAATGTGTATCAGTCTGTAACTGTTAGGTCAACTGAAATGACAGCTCTCATGGTAACAGTAGGCACAGCACAGGCTTTGGTTTGAGAAACCCTCTGTCCCGAGTAAGCCAAAAGTCTGGTGCACTTTACTGTCAAGTTAAAGTGTCCCAAGGCAGAGCAGTAATGTGACCGAAAGCAATACTTAGAAGGCAGGAAAAGACTCAGAAGAGCACTTCCGGGCTTCCAAGAGCAACAGGAGTAGCTGAAGCAACAGAGGAGCTCATGGAGTAGCACGGAGCAAAGCCACCTGGCGGCGAACGCTGTTCAGCAGTGGAGTCAAGACCCTGAGCTTGACTCCAGAACTGAAAAACAGGTCAAAACACAGTGCTGCTGCAGGTGTTGAAGACCTGTAGCTCCCTAAACTACAATGTGAGTAGGTAAGTATTTACAGCCCTCTTTAAAGGCTACTTGACAGTCTGAGAATGGAAACAAAAAGATATTTTTCAGAGTATACTTTTAAGGGTTCTCAAGAATTCTAAAGTTAAAAAATGTGCTAACAACTCTCCTGTAACCTGGGTCCCCTTTACAACTGCCCCCTGACACAAGGGTTACAATGAAAAACTTTAGTGTGGAGACACTAATGGAGAGAATACATTCCATTTATTGTATCTGATGGTATTCTGTGCTGCCAGGATAAGGGCTGGTTCTGACCTCTGAACAGAAGATGTGCAATGGTTCTACTCCTTGTTCTCTTAACAGCCAGAGACACTTTTCTGAATGAGGAGAATTTTCAATAGTAATCTTTAAAAGAAATCAAAAAGATATTAGCTGACAAACCATCCAAGAAACATAGAAAGACATACAAAAACTAAGAGTAAGTTTTCGGGAAGAATACTGAGAAGAGAGAGGAAGTCAATCCAGGATAAGGTTGAGACGTAAGCATGCCAGGCTTCTGCTGGGCTGTTCTTCCTCTCGCTGCACCAGCTAGGGTCCGGAAGTCACAGAGACAGCTATGGACTAACACACCTTCAACTTGTAACTATGTTTCCCACAAAGAGGAGGCAACACTGAAGAAAGTGTGTGTGTGTGTGTCCTGGGTAATTTCTAAGAACTAACCATTACTGAGTGTCCAGTTTAGCAGTGGGCACTACCCCCGTACTTTCTATTCATTTTCACTCCCTCCTGTGGGACATATTATGTGGCTTAACAGATGGCAAAACTAAGAGATTAAGCAACGTACTTTAGGGTTATGATGAACAGAACAGAGAAAAGTGTAACTATAACCAAACTTCCTGAGTTTCAGCCCCCATCACCTCCCCCCCAATTTGTTCAGTGACAAGAGTGACAGCACTGGCCAGGTTTCTCTTCAGGGAACCATTTCCAAAAGGCTGCATTTTCCACATAGATGTTTCTGACTTACTGACTCGCTTATAAATTGCTATCCTTTACCATGAAGATCTGTTTAATGTGGAGGAGTTAGAAGCATATTAGTATGATGGCTTTCTGCATGACAACTGTATCACACATCAGTTTAAATGAACATACCTTTGTAACAGCCTGGCGAGGTGCTGCTACCCACTAGAGCACACTCGACACCTGAGAGGATCTTGACAAAAATCATAAAGAAACGCCAGGGTCAGGGTAGTCAGGGTACCCTGCTACACTGTTAAGAGCACCCTCTTACCCACCCAAAGTAGACCCACATCTAGTAAATAGCACCGCAAGAAAAGGGAAGGAGGAAAACGATCAACTTGAATGTGGGTAAAGCAGACATATGCAGTCACCAAAAGAACGACATCCCTTAGAGATAAGGTATACCTAAAAAAATGTCCAATTTTAAAGTGGCCTCAACAGTCAAATGGTTGTTCTGATTTGGTTGGATATATTCATCATTTATGCACAATCACAGAATCTCTGCTCCATTCCCACTACCTAGAAATTCTTCTTTATCTGGTCTTCAACATGGCTCACACACTCAGGAGTTTAAAAACCATGAAGGTTCAGATATGCGGACACTGCAGAGGGGATCGAGAAGCATACCTTTGCAATTCGAGACACAAGTAAACTAAGTCTTGGAGGCAAGCTTTTAGCATACTGTCACCACAGAGGAGGCAAATATAACAAAATCCTGAAATACTGAAAAAGGGCAATGTCACAAAATTACAGGAAGTAAACAAATGGAAGAAAAGTCCCAGGACCTGGGACAGGAAGCTGGTTGGAGCGCCTCCAGTCAATCTTGCCCCTGTTCTTCCTCTGATAGGAAAGCAGTGCTCTCAACCAGCATACACCCCACTGCTCACTTGACTGGGCAGCAGGTAAACAGAGAAATCAATTCTCTACTTTACAAATAAGTGAGTCTCTTATACGTGAGGACACTTCCTTAAGGTCAAAAACAGATAAAAAGTTCAACTTTAGATTTTTCTCAAGCTTAACACCTTTTCTCTTCCCTGAATCTTCTGGAACATTCTCTGCACTTGCTGAGTTAAACGTTACAAGCTGGACAGGAACTTTATTATGAAACAACCAACCAACCAACCAAACAAACAAAAAAAAAGTCTCCAAAACAGTGTAAGTTCAGTGACAGTTTTCAGCGCGGAGTCTCCTAACACTGTATGGAAAGGGGAGGGTGCTTAGTCCAGATCCCTTGGCGATTAGTACCATGACAACTGGCAGGGCCGGAGGAAGGAGAGCACAAGAAACCTACGGAGCACATGTGTCTCCACATACGTGGAGGAGACTCTCCAGGCCCTCAGAATCAGGAGCTTCAGGATAATCTTTATAGTCAGGTGTCTAAGTCTCATCTTAACACACCAAGCCAGGCAAGAGACTACAGAAAAGGAAAGAGAAAACACCACATCTTTACAGGATTTAACTAGGAAAAGACAACAACATGGAAACAGCATGTTCCAAGAGTCTGTACAAAAAGTATTGAAAATATGAATATTTCTTAGTTTTTTTTTTTTGTTTGTTTTTTGAGAAAGTAGATATAAGTTACGTACAGAGCTTCATGCATGCTAGGCAAACAATATGTCAATCGGCTACATCCCCAGCCCCTACATTGTCCTGTTGGGGCTTTTGAATTTTTCTAAATGGCAGACTTGGAATCTGACAATGTACCCATCTCTTCCCTAGGGCAGGCCAGCATGACAGCCTAGGATTGGAGTCACAGCAGACAGAAAAGCGAAAAATGGAAGACTTAATGGGATATTAATTTCCCTCAAGACAGAAAACAAATTTAAACAATTTAAACAGTCAGAAAAAGGAAACATTTCTCTTTTATATGACAAATATACAGATATTTGTCATTATATAAAAACTATATATAGGTCAGATACATATTGACAGGAAAAAATGTAAAACACAACAAGACAAGAAAGGCTGGGTTATTCACCTATTTCAACAGGGTGCATACTCTTACGACAGTGTTTACGAGATCTATTTAAGTACTTACATACCTTAGACTGCTGATAGAAACATACCCCAGTACTCCAGCTCCCTCTTAGAGTGGCCGTTCTGATGATGCAGAGACCCAGCACTAAGAAGGCTTGCCTTCAGAACATCAGACATACACCTTACGCAGCACGACGTAAGTGAGGGAACTAAATATGTTGACTTTATTAGTCCTGTTTATGGGATCAGATCTGAAGGTTTAGTTGACCTTATTTCCATTTCCCTGCTCTTCAATCCACATTCTTTAATCTTGTCTGTGTAGGTGCATCTGTGCGGTGAGCTCATGCATACATTCACTCTGCTGTGATTTCTAGATTATTATTTCTTTCTCCTTTTATTTTTGTTGCATCAGAATCAGCATAAATGAACACAAACTGTCTCTCTAAGATAATTCTTGATTTCTCTCTAAATAACTTTTGATGACTTTTAAAAGCTTTACTCACCTAAGGGTAAGGGATTAGGACAAAGGCTTGTAACATACCATAATCGGTGATTTTACAGGACACCAAGTATAGCTCTTTCAGGTTTTGTCCCTCCTTTGCAATGACCTCCACACACCTGAAACACACAAAGTGGTGGTGTTATACTCGAACATCCCAGTTAAATTAACAAATCCACAAATGGGGTCAGTATGTCATGAACATCACAGCCCTCTGCTTTCAACACACCTCACTGGAGGCTTTGCGGGAAGTCTTAGAGTCTCCGCTTTCAAGTTAAGTGTTCTAACCCTAAATGGTTTTATTACATCTTTTAAAACCCAAGAGATGGGAAGAAGATATTAATTTAAGAACACTGCAAATTTGGGTATAAAAAGGTAGTAAGCCAGCCCATGTGATATAATGAATACATCATTTATATAAAATTACATAAAATAATGAACTCAAACTGTAGTATATATGTGGGTAGCTATTTCTAAAGAATAATTATTCAAAGTTCTATTATTTCGAATTTGAAGACATTTCATTCTACATACAATCCAAAGTTAAAAAAAATCTGTAACTGATAAAGAACATAAAACTTGAACATACAAGAATGATAAAACTTTCATTTTAATGTTTCAGGGGCTAGAGAAATTGCTCAGCGGTTAAGAACACTGACTGCTTTTCCAGCGGAACCGGGTTCAATTTCCAGTACCCACACGGCAGCTTACACCTAACTGTAACTCCAAGATCTGACACTCTCACACAAATAGAAATGCAGGCAAAACACCAATTCACATAAAAATAAATAATTGGAAATGTTTCAATTTTAATATTTTAAATGAACTGTTAGACTATTTTAATTATACAGTTATAAAATGTTTTAAAAATCTTTTTTTGATTTTCATTTAAATTAAAACATTTCTGCGTACAGCCTTGGCAGAACTTCAGTAGAGAACCTAACGAGTTTTAAAAATAATGATTAATCCCTACCTATCTCATAGCTCAGTTTCCTATTCTACCAGACAGCTGTCCGGTCAGATGACACACAGGCCCGGGTGCCCTTCAATGCAGCCCCATTTAATCTGTATAGATAGCAGTTAAGTAAAAGGGTAAAAAGCAAAAAGAGTCATTAACCTTTCCTAGGAAGTAAGGTTCAAGCAACTCAATACCTGTGTGTACAATCCATCAAAACTCACTTGGCATCCATCTCTGTCTTTCGGATATTTCATTTTTTGCCTGGCTTATTTGTAGATATCTTCATAAAATGTCAGGGGATTTTATATAATTTTATCCCATATAATTCATTACTGAAGGTTATATTAATAAGAAAGATATTTTTCTTTTGCAGTATTTTTATATAATTTTGCCCTAATGGAATGATAAGCATTTCATGTTTCCCAGGGCAACCAGGTAACCAGGCTTCTTTGGTTATTTTATATGAAAAGATTTATGGCTAAAACAGATATGTTTTCTATAACATTGACAATAGAAAACTTCAAACAGCAACATAATAAAACTGTGATTGGCATGGATTATTCTGAAGGGAAACTTTAAAGACCGTTTTCATATTATTTAGCCTTAATGCAATGTTTTAATAAGTTCATAAGAAAGAAATGCTAAAAGAAGAAATCAAACAATTCAAACAAACCCAAATATTATACTTAAAACGAACTTTCTCATGCTAAGAATAAAAAATAAAATCCATAGATTACAAAATCCTAATGATTTAAAATGTATTGAACACTTCTTGTATAGTGAAGAGACATATTTTACCCTCCTTATTGGATGAAAAAAGTTAATCCAATATGTTGTGGCGGTATTAGGCGAAAAAACAAACAGTAATCGCATTTTGTTCTCAAATTTCATACAGATAGTTCAAAATGCCTGATTCTATATTTGATTCCGAAAGACACTAAGGAAATGCAGCCTCTTGTTGTATTCCTCTTCAATCTATACTGGATATTCCACAAGCACATTTGATCATTACAGATTCACAGAGGGCTGGAGGTAGATGATAACAGAAAGCATGCTACTCTACCAGAAAATCAGGCACTGCTTCCAAGAACAAAACCAGCCTAGAAACAAAGCAAGCCCTTGATGACAACTGCCCAGGGAGCTGAGTGTCAGAGAGCAAGCACCGAGGTTCCCCCCAAATGGCAGAGCTGCAGATAGGATGTCAGGATAGTTGTGAGACAGTGCAAGATCAGGTAGCCTGCCCAAGAGCTAACACGTGCCTATAGCCTTTCCTACCAAGTAGTGAGTGGGAAATGTAAGCGAAGGTCACACTGTCCTCATGAAGAATCACCTGTTGTTAAAGGCTTAGTCATACAACTCTCAATATTTTAACTGCCCTTCACTACAGCCAGTGATGGCAGAGTCATGTTCATCACAGAAGGATCCCTAAAAGAAGACCTTATGGGATAAAAAACCAACAACAAACAACAAAACCAAATGATTCCTTGAAGGCTTTAAAGAAGAATTTAATGCTAAATCATCCACTGATGTAACAGCTGATGACAGAATGTTTAAGTTCCATAAATCTGGAAACAGCCAAGTAGTGACATGAAGAGCGGAAGCAGCACTGATTGGAAAGCTGAAGGTGGTGTTGTTGTTCATTATCCTAGCATTACAAATCGGTCATTTTGTTAGCTATTTAAGGGGTTCTCCCTCCTTTTTCTTTTCTTTCCTTTTTTCTTTTCCTTTCTTCCTTCCTTCCTTTTATTTTTTTTTCAGAAAATAAAGCATTTCTCAGTTTCAATGGAGGGAAAATACGCAGCACCTCACGCCCTGGCAGGTTTCTGAAGATTTTGTCCAGTGTAGCTTCTCAGGCAGCATCAGTGACAGGTCTTGATGAGAGCCCAGCGGAGTGACTTTCCTCAAACTTTTACAGACCACTCCAGGATACATGCGGATGAAGAGCTACAGTATCACACATGTCTACAGAGTACGCTCCCCCTTTTTACAAAGACTTGTTATGCACTCACTCATCTCATTGTATAGTGTGTGTATGGGAGTGTAGGGGTGTGGGTGTATGTGTACCAAACGGCACATAATAAAAATTATAGACATCTACGTGACAGGTACTTAGGAAAACCTTAAGGGGTATTTTCAAGCACTTTTAAAAGCTAAAAATATTTTCAAAGTGATAATCTTTGATAATCCTGAGCAGTGTGATGGAAACTTAAATGACATTTAAAACCTACACTTCTCCATTCCTGTCCTTATTTGTATATATTACACAAGAGAATGTTCTGTACTATGTGGTGAGAAAATTATATGAGTACACAGGGTAGGGTATGAGCATTTATTGAGAATTTAAAATATTTACACCTCTTCTATACTTTGCCCCCCCTCATTCCAAAGGACAAACCTCTGAATAATATATGACAAACTTTCTACATAGATCCAGAAACTCTCATGACAATATAGGAATTTAAAAGAGGGGACTACTAAGTCCTTAGGGCAAGGAGAAAGATTATAAGGGGTAAATGAATAGCATGGAAAGAAAATGACATAATGGAAAAATGCCAAAGAACATCAGAACCCAGCTAGGCCAACCACACCATGCCCCTGAGCTCTGAGAAGTCACAGGGAGGCATGTCCTTAACAAGAGGAGAGAATGACTGAGGAGACAGCCCCAGCCTCACCTGTAAGAAAAAGGAACAGGCACCTACCTTGGCTGGCACTTGCTGCAAACTGTGGTTTCCTGTAAACATTTTCTTCCAGACTAAGTGTCTTTAGTCCATTTAGACACTCTTTGGCTTATTCTGAATTTTCTGCCCTTAGATTATTTCTTGCTTTTATGCTTTGGCAGGTATGTAAAGAAAAAAAATTAAAGTCTTACTATTGTAAATTACTGAGTAACAGCTGTTGAGAATGAATATATATTATATATATTCTCTCTTTCTCTCTTTTAGAATAGAGAAAAGTGCCAAAAAAACCTGTTCTAGATAGTCAAAGCATCCAAAATTATTTTTGATAATTTTATACTTACTTGCTTTTGAGAATGTTCTAAAATATACCTGAAACATTTTTTTTTTCAAATTTAAAAACTGAAGGTTATTTTGTGAGCTATTTAAGGTGTTTTCCCTTTTTTCTTTTCTTTTTTCTTTCTTTCTTTCTTTTTTCAGATTATAAAGCATTTCTCAGTTTCAATAGAGGGAAAAAAATCTGTCTTCTTAGCAATAGACTCCTAATTACCTGATTTATGTGAAGGTTAAAGGTTAATGAATTAAGCTGTGTAAGCTTCAAAATTATCAAAGGAATTCAAAAGAGCCTTGAATTATGGAAAACAATGACCCATTCTACATACATACTAAATTTTTATGTTTTTTGTCTCCTCCTCAAAAGGCTGAACATGGCATTAGTGACAATTGAAAAGAACTAATGAGGAAATATGACTACACTGTGTGCAGGAGGAACATCCTGGGAGACCTTGTTACTGTTTGTGATGTGTTTCAAACCAGAAAGAAGCTAATTGGAGCTGCCAGACACTGGTTTGCAAATCTTACTTTAAATGACAGGCTCAATCACCTTCGAGGTGTGAAAGAAATATCCCCATTACAAATGCATTAGTACAGGGCTTGGTGGAGTTCTAAAGGCACTTTGGGATATTCTCGCCCAAGCCATGCTCCTATTTGAATAATAGACATATCTTTAAAGAGAGAAAATTGCAACAAGACAAAACAACAGCTCAGATTAAAAGGAAGAAAATGTATAGAGAGTAGCATAAAGAATTTGGTAAATACATACAAAGACTTGGGGTGTTTAACCTAACAACTCAAAACACACCACAAAAGTGATCTATGTAAAGGATCTAGAAATAGAGCTGGATTTCCAGCATTCTAAAACTAATGAAGCTGGTAAGTAAATCTCCACTGTGTGCCTGTGGACAGCCACACTGCGCTGTGTGTGTGGGTCCACACACACTGGGGAAAGAAAGGGAAGAGGGGTACAAGGCCTAAAGCACAAAGCAAGGCCCCTCTGTCCTGCAGAAGGACATCCGGCTCATTCACAGGCAGGCTATTTAAGTGATACCAGAGGATGACAAAACACAAATTGGCACCTAAGGAAAAGCATAATGATATCAGATTCATTCTTTTTTAAAGTCTGAAATCGAGTTTTGCTGAAGAATGA